CTACTAAAAATTTGGAAAACTTTGCCAGGTGTGGTAGCATGCAGTGGGTATGCTGAGGCGGGAGGATAGCTTGATCCCAGGGACTGAGGCTGCACTGAGCTATGATCATGCCACTGCACTTCAGCTTGGGTGACAGAGCAAGACACTGTCTTAAAAAAATATTTTCTCCTCCTAAATCAGACCTATGACTAGCAGTGTTGTTGCAAGACAACAGGTCACTAGAGAAACACCCAGCTACCTCCTGGATAGGCCTAATATTATAACTATGCCATAATTCTAAGAGATAACATCTTACTAATTTAACAGCAACTAGAATTAACGGGTGCTTATGTGTATGCCAGTACATTTTCTCTGTGTGTTTATACACACACACACACACACAGTATGTGTGTTTATCTATCTGTGTGTGTGATTTATCATCTCCTTCATCTCCTAAACACAAACCACTTTGGTTCAGAAATTCTGTTGGGGTACACAGAAATATAATTGTTTGATCATCATGTTTATAGTTTCTTAATTTTTATAGGTTTAGACATCCAAATAACAGTGGCTAGTTAAAGTTACAATGAGAAAATATAATTAATTCTGAGAAAAACAAAACTGTCCTCCACCCTCACAAAACAGACAGTTGGTAACAGCTGTTCTTAAACGTGAGTTCATGTTTTTAAAGTCTATTATAATGCCATTCTAGGGGCTCCTGAGACCCTCTGTTCAGCTCAAACCTTTTAGCAATTATCTAGTGAAAACAGATAAAGCATTTATATGTCCCCACAGATTTTATAGACAGTATTGGCCCAACGGTAGGGCATACTCACTCACTTTCACTTGTACTTATGTGCACTCACTCTCATTCATTCTCTTTCTCTCTCTCTGTCTCTCTCTGCACTCCTAATCTCTTTTGCTCTGCTCTATTTTTTTTTTATTTTTTCCACATGCTTATTACCTTCTAATATATGGTATAATTTACTCTATTAAGTATATTGTTTACCCCGTTATGTCTTACAAGCACAGGGATGCTCATCTATTTTGTTCAGCATTTAAAATAATGCTTAACCCTGAATAAGCTCTCAATAAATATTTAAGTAAATAAATAAATGGAATTCAAGATGCTCATAATATATGGCAAGAGACTATTAAATGAAGTTAAAGTAAGCTAAGGCCTCTTTATTTTTCTGTATTCATTACTGTTCAAAGTTTATTCATTTTCAACTCTGATAACTTAAGGACTCATATGGTAACTTCTACAATAGTTACCGAACAATAGATACAGTGTGTAACTTTTAAATTAGCGAAAGAAAATTTGGAATGATAAAAATAATCAACATAAAATATAGAAATAAAAAATAAAATAACCAGAATTATGGACAAATAAAGAAAGCAGGACAGTAAAAACAAGCCTAACTAAATCCGCTATTGTATTAAATATAAACGGACAAAAGTCTCTAGTGGAAAGACATTGAATTTAAAATACCTTAAGAAATGAATGCTGTTTAGTAGAGACACATCTAAAACATAAGAATATAGAAAAGTTAAACGCAGAAGGACAGAAAAAAGATATAGGACACAGAGACACATCTAAAATGACTATGTAGAAATCTGAAAGCAAAAAGTTTTGACATGCATGATCTAAACAAAAGAAAGCTGATGAAGTTATATCAACATCATGCAAAACAGGCTTTAATGCAAAAAGAAACCTTAGAAATAAAGAAGGTTACCCCCAAATAGACAAAAGTGTTAATTAACCAGAAAAATATTTTTACGTTAATAACTGGGCAAAAAGAAATATGAAAAACATATTTTAGACTGATCTTAGTGAAAACAGCACCTCAAAACTTATTTCACACAGATGAAGTATGTAGAAGGCAAGCTCAAAGCCATAATTAATACATTTCAAAAAGAAGAAAGGCTGAAAAATAATGTGCTATTATTCTTTTAAATTCAGCTAGAATAAAACATTTAATAGAACTTTCACTTAAGCAGTTAGAACAGAAAAAAATAAAGGAGAAAGAAATAATAAAGAAAAATTGTCTTAATTACTACAGATTTGAAATGAATCTTGCTAGCTGATAGCAGATTCTCTTATTTTGCATCTTCTTCAAGAGTGCTTTAGCATTCTTTGGGTTTTGACTTTCCATATACATTTTGGAATCAGCTTGTCAAGTTCTAAAAGAATTGTCAGGAATTTAGTAGAGATCCTATTGAGACTGTTTTGAGTCTATAACAATGAAAAAGAAATTGATATCCTTTAATTATTCAGTCCTAAAATTTACAACTATCTGTCTCTATATACTGAGTCCTTCTCTAATATGAGATGTAAACGTTGTCTAATTTTTCCCATAAAAGTCCCTGAACATCTTGTTAGATGTTTGTCACAGAAACTTCGTTTTTGAAAATATTTTAAATGACGTATTTTTTTTTAATTTAAAAATTTTCTGTTTCTTGATGGCATATAGAAAATATACTTGATTTTAAAAGTATTTTTTAAAATAACAGTTTTATTGGTCTATTATTTGTATACCATAAAGATCAGTCTTTTATAGCACACAATTCACTGCGTTTAGTACATTGAGTGAATGTGTTAACAGAGTGATGCAACCATCACCACTGTCTAATTTCAGAACATTATCATCACCCCAAAAATGTGCTTCATTCTCACTAGCAGTCACTCCCCTTTCACCAGCTTCCTTCATCCCTGGCAACCACTGATCTATTTTCTGTGTCTATGGATTTGCCTATTCTGGACTGTTCACATAAATAAAATCATGGAGTCTTTAATAACTGGCTTTCTTCTCTTAGCATACTGTTTCCAAAGATTATCCATTTGTAGCATTTATCAGCACTTCATTCCTTTTTATTGTCTAATAATATTCCATTGTATGGATGCATCTCAGTTAGTTAATCCATTCATCAGTGTATGGGTATTTGGGTAGTTTCTACTTTTTGGCTATTATGAAGAATGTTGCTACTAAATCTTCTGTACAATTCTTTGTGTAGATGTATATTTTCATCTGTCTTAGGTATATACCTAGGAACAGAATTACTGGGTCATATTACCATGACTATATTCAACACTTATGTTTAGCATTTGAAAATAATTCATGTCACTTTCAGATGGAAGCATTTAAAGATGGCTCATGAGTATCCATGCTCTCTTCTCCCCTACCACACCAAACGGGAAAGTTTCATGTTCCAGATTATCACAGTTACAGAATGATGGAGCTTCCCTGAATTTAGACCTCCAAGTTATTACATGGAGGAAGTTGTCCCAGAGAGTTGTCTTCATCCATAGGAGACTTTGCATCAGTGAATAACTGCACTAAGCCAAAGAGATCTGGAGATTGTTACTGCAGCATAACCTAACCTATCCTCACAGACGGCAAGTTCAATCTCACAAGTAATTAAAGTAGTCAGTATTAATGAGATAATACCCATCAGATGGACAAAAATTAAATGTTCTGGCAATACAAGATACAAAGAATAGAGACAACTCTTTCAAAATATGTTGCTCTAAAGAAGAGAGAAGAAAGTGCTTAATCTCACAAACATAATGTTAAGCAAAATAATCTATGAACAAATGCCTATTATAATCACATAAAACTTTTTTTAAAAAAGGTAAAATTAGACTTGAAGGAAAAACAAACAAGAAGTTTTGGGATACTTGCAATGTTCTTTTTGGGGGATGGTGAGTAGTGGAAAATTTGCCTTAAAATTACCTGTTATAAGAATTTGTCCTATTATCTGTCAACCAATAAATTTGTTTTATATACTTCTCCCTATATTTGTTACAGTTTAAATTTTTAAAAGATCTTATTTATAGTTATATAGGATTTGTAGCTTAAAATGTTTTACATATTAATAAAATTATGTGTGAAGATAACAGGTAATATCACCATTAAGTCACAAAAAGTATTAAATCAGCCTGGGCAACATAGCAAAACCCCATCTCTATAAAAAAACAAAAAACATGTTTGAGAAGGAATCTTCCAAATTATAAACAGATCGTATTTGAATAGAAACTCCAAAAGGTTGTATGTACTAAGTCTGGTCAGTAGGTGAACATTTGCAACTTTCTAATTTAATTAAAACTGGAATTCTTAAATCACATAATCTTAAGAATTAGAGCAGACTATAAGCCTTTTTCTTCATTTTTAACTCCACAGGACATACTTTTTAAGAGGGTGTGTTTTGCTCTCAGTATGAAAAATGCAGTACAATATCTGCCAAGAGAATTCTTTTTTTTTTTTTTTCTGGATACTCTGAGTATTTATTTCCAAGACCTCCCAGAAATATTGCGCTTCACAAATACACACCATTTAGTCTGGTAATAGTGATCTAAGTGTGAAGAGGTTACTTTTTTCTCAGTAAATTGGTGAGAGAGTAAGTCCTCACATTACAAAAGAGAAACAGGCTCTGCCAACCATGATGACACACTCCCAAGCCATGAATGAGTTGGCTGTGGACCGTCAACTGCTGGATCCATCCAGTTTCATTTGTTTTCCAAATGACCAGCAGCCAGGGTATATTTGAGTTCTGTGATTCCCTGTTCATTCAAGAAGCAATTTGCTTGAATCTCTGAGCATCAGTTTCAAAGGAGAGGACTCTCTCTACTTCACTGGAGAATATGAGGGAAGATAAATGCCTGAATTACTTGTGACATTTCCAGCCCAAAGGCAAAATGGCACTGAAAATAAGTTAAAATGTGCTCATAAAAGAGTACTTCAAATCCACTCCACTCTCCCAAATTGCATACAAAGCACATGTGGGTGAGAAAACATTGTTTTATCACTTTAATTCAAAGCCACCAAAAAGAGGCAGAAATATTCTTAAACCTACCCTTACTAGTGATGACTAAGTTTCAAATAATCTTGAAAATGATACTGATAAGACATTAGAAGTCGCAAAAGAAGCTATTCTAACATTTTCTGTCTGCTAAAACAAGCCGACATTCACTTTTAATCAAAAAGAAAGTAAAAAGTACACGAACTCTTCGCAATACATACTCACTGTACAACTTTGGTGTGTCTATGTCCATTCCTAATTTCTGGTTTATCTGTCGAGTTAACCTCTGCTATTTTCCGGGATTCATTCCAAGGAAACTAACTGCATTGATTACTAAAATTGGCATCTGTGCTATTGTGCTTAAATTTCAGAGAGGCTCCGAAGTGATCTGAAACCAATTTTTTCACATTCTGCCCAAACTTTATGCTAAAAAGTAGCAAGCACTGTTCAAGAACAAGAATTGATAGGAAAGGTGCAATGTTTGTTTTATTCCAAACAATTTCATTTCCTCCAGATGTATAATTCTGAAAGAGAATAAGTGTTATGTTAAAGTCATTTATTTTTGTTGCAGTGTTGCAAATACTGGCTTAAAGATTATTTAAGGTAATATGAAAGGTGTAAATATTGATATAAATCTATATGTTTCTGAGCTCTTTACAAATGTTTTCCTTTAAATCCTCTCCACTCTCCCAAATTGCATAAAAGCAAATATGGGTGAGAAAACCTTGTTTTATTGTTTTAATTCAAAGCCACCAAAAAGAGGCAGAAATATTCTTTATATTTCTTTATAGCTCTTTATAAATGTTTTTCTCTACAACTTTTGGTTGGAAAATCCTAAAAGCCTAAGTGATAAGTGCATATAAACTAGATTAATAGATTGTTTTTATATCATGAAATTATGAAACTAGTAATGTTTGTAACAAGTTAAAAGAGTTAAAGAATTACACTTTTAAAATCTGGGGCATACCTTGGATATTCTCAAAAAGCTCTCAGAAATTATCTTAAGCCAACCCTCTAATTTGAAAAACTGAGGCCCACTGAGGTTAAATCACAGTGTCAGAGATAATAAATAGGAAATCATACCAAAAGTCAAATTTTCTGATTCCAAGTCCAGAGCCGTGAAAGAGTATTTGTTTCAATAAACTTTAACACTTACAGAAATAAATGTTAATGAAGGACACTCAGGCAACCCTTCACTATAAAGAACTCCATCTGGCTTACAAGAGCCCAGAATTCTAATCTGTTTGCAAACGCAAGTCCCAGAAATAACCAATTTTTAAATGGCACCAAACCTGGGGTTTCCAATGGAAACCCAGCAGGCACACGGCGCCGCGAGTGGGTCCTCTTTCTCTCACCACTACAAATTCCTCCCAGTAAGTGGTTGGTTGGAATTGGGTTTGGGGTTTTGCTGCTGCTGCGGCTGCTGCTGCTGCTGTTTAATTTGCTTGCAGGCAATGGGGAAGGTGGGAAACAAGATCTGAGGTCTAAATCATCCCTACAGCACAATCTTTCTGTCCCTTGTCATCGAACTCCCAAATCCTCTTCAGGGCCCCAGGGCTTACCGTTTTACATGGCAGTCCCTTCAGTTTCCAAAGTAGGCAGGAAGCCTGGAAAAGAAGTTGACAGGGTGGCATGCCCTTTCAGTGGCCCGGGGCAGGTGCGCGCCAGGCGCGGCCCGCAGCTCTCAGTCTGCGCCCAGATCCTCCTCGCCCGGCGGGAGCCGAGACTCGTCCTGCGTCGCACCCACCGCGCCCCCGCCGCCCGCCAGGCGCCGGCCCCTCAGGTGGTCCAGCTGAGCTGCAGTCCCCGGCCCTAAGCGGCCAGCGGGGCTCCGCGCCCGTCACGCGCGTCCCAACGCCCCATTCTCAAGTTACCCGAAGTGGGAAGAGGTGGCAACAGTGGGTGCCGGAGAGGGAAGCGGGTCCCTCCTCGATCCCTCGGTCCAACTCGACGGAAGGCAGAGATGGCGGCGGCGCCGGGGCTCGGGCACCTGCGTCGCGCGCGCTCTGCCGGCCGTGGGCTCTGCGATGGGGCCGCTTTGAACTCCTCGCCCAAGGTGCTGGGCAACTCTCAGGAGAGAGGAGGGCAGCCGAGTGCGTGGGGAGGAGGCGCTGAGCAGGAGCGGCCTAGGGGGGGCGGAAAAAGGAGGGAAGAGTCGGGTGGCCGCGCCCTCCGCAGCCGCTCTGGAGCGGGAGGAGCGGACTCGAACGGCGAGAGTGGCCGCGCCGGTGGCCCAGGACTGCGGCTACGAACGCCGCTGCGGGTGGCCGCGGGTCTGCAGGAGGGGAGACCCGGCGCTGAGAGGAGGCCGCGCTGCCCGCAGGGAGGTCCAGAGCCCGGGCGAACCCAGCAGGCACACGGCGCCGCGAGTTCCCCCCGCAGGCAGTCACCCGCGACCCTGCGTCGCTGGCTGCAGACTTTAGCTAAGCACTGGGGTTCCCTGTCCCTCCAGAACTCTGCAGCAGCAGGTGTGTAAAATGCTACAATTAAAAGATTGCAAGAAGTGGGAGGAGTCGGAGAAGAAAGCTAAACGGAAAAGATGAAAAGTAGTGAGGTCGTGAGTTTCCTGAAACCAGGGATGCTTCCGCCAGCATCTTCATCGTCATGCGTGTCAGGAAGGCTAAATGCATTCGCGCATCTGGTGGGTGGCGTGTTTGGAGGGGATTGGAGCCATATGACCACCACTCTTTCAATCCTGAGATTCAGTGATGTTTGACGTAGCACATTTTTTTTAATGTGTCCTTGAACAGTCTGATTCCAACTCCAAAGTAAATAGACATTTTCCAGCTCTCCTTTCAAAATGTTCATTCATTATTTGTCTATGTATTAAATACATCTTTATTGAGGAGGTACTATGTGCCAGACAATATACTAGGTTCAGTTATAGTGTTCCCTGAACTTAGAGTTAGGGGTGGGAGGACAGACAGATAAGCACCTATTCATACAATTACCAGTAGTGCCAGGTGATATGAAAAGGAAACTAACAGAGTAAGGGAGAAAGAATAAAGAGGAATGGCCATTCTCCAGACTGGCCATTTTTAAATATCTAGTGGATGGCTAATTTTTAAAGGCCTCTACTTAATTTGATTAATGCCCTCATAGGAAGAAGCATTCCAGGCATACAGGGAAAGTGAGTTGCAGAAAGTGGCTCAGAGATGGGTAGGCCAGAAGTGGCTCAGAGGTGATCTCCTGGCTCCCTGGCCCAGCCGCTGTGCGTTATAGAAGGAACCTTGCTGGCTCAAGCCTGTAATCCCAGCACTTTGGGAGGCCGAGGTGGGTGGATCACGAGGTCAACAGATCGAGACCATCTTGGTCAACATGGTGAAACCCCATCTCTACTAAAATTACAAAAAATTAGCTGGGCACGGTGGTGGGTGCCTGTAATCCCAGCTGCTCGGGAGGCTGAGGAAGGAGAATTGCCTGAACCCAGGAGGCGGAGATTGCGGTGAGCCGAGATCGCGCCATTGCACTCCAGCCTGGGTAGCAAGAGCGAAACTCCGTCTCAAAAAAAAAAAAAAAAAAAAAGAAGGAACCTTGCTGTAACTTTGCAAATGAAGCTTCTCCTTCATAGGAATCACCTCTCAGGACCAGTGTCACTTTTTTAAATAGCACTTGGATCTCCAGACCACTTGTTGAAGCCACTTTATTCAGAAATGTCAGATTTGTATACCAAATGGGCTTTCAGTGGTATCTGTGGTTGGTGAAAAATAACCAAGAAAAAATTAACCCTTGGATTTCCACCAGACCTCAACAGACAGATGTCTCTATTGGATGGAGATAAGAATTGAGGTAGATTTCTCCAGACTATTAGGAAAGAAAACAATACAAAAAGAATCTTTAATTAAATAATCAGTACAAACTAACATATTAGTTTCCTAGGGCTGCTATAACAAATTATCACAAACTTGATGCTCAGAGATTTATTCTCTCATTGCTCTGGAAGCTAAAAGTTTAAAGTCAAGGTGTCATCAGGTCTGTACTCACTCCCAAGGCTCTAGGGGAAAATCCTTCCTTGCCTCTGATGGCTTCAGGAATTCCTTGGCTTGTGGCCACATAACTCCAGTCTCTGCCTCCTTCTTCACATGCCTTCTCCCTTGTGTCTGTGCTACCTTCTCTTTTTGTTGTAAAGGGCATTTGTCATTGGATTTAGGGACCACCCAGATAATTCAGGCTGGTCTCATCTCAAAATTCTTAACTTAGTTACATCTGCAAAGACCGTTTTTCCAAATAAAGTCACATCCACAGGTTCCAGAAATTGGGATGTGGACATTTTTAGCGTGAAGTCACTTTAACCACTATAACTAACTAATAGAGATCAAAATCGTCGTCTACTCTGGTATCAGGTGTCATTCCAGCATCATTATTTGAAATTGTATTGACACTAAATATAATTAATTATTTCATTGTGAACTACTAGAAATAAGTATTCCCAGGCACAGTGGCTCATGCCTATAATCCCAGCACTTTGGGAGACTGAAGCGGGCAGACCACTTGAGCCCAGGAGTTCGAGACCAGTAACATGGTGAAACCCTATCTCCATTAAAAATATAAAAATTAGCTGGGTGTGGTGATGCACACCTGTAATCCCAGCTACTTGGGGGGCTGAGACAGGAGAATCGCTTGAATCCAGAAGGCAGAGTTTGCAGTGAACCGAAATCACGCCACCGCACTCCAGCCTGGGTAACAGTGAGACTCCGTCTCAAAAAAGTAAATAAATAATAAAAACTAAAAATAAGTATCATAAACCCGGGCATTTTGAAGAATACCTTCCCTGTAGGAAACAAGTACAAAGGCTCAAACCCTCAACTTGTGTTTGAGTTGCAGGCAATACTTGAACGCCAAGCATAGTGCCTCAAAGTGACCATTGTTATAGAAATGCATCCTAAATGCACATGTATAGATTTCTGATAATGTGCCAATACTGAGTGTCTGCTCTATACTAGGCTCCGAGTCAGAAAGTTCTTATAGAATTTACATTCTAGGTTAGGAGACATCTTTGAATCTCATTTCATCTGGCATAGTATTTGGTACATACCTGAAGCCTGATAAAGAGCTGTGAGTGAATACGTGAGTAAAAATAAAGCACTGCCAAGCAGCTAAGCAAATTGTTACTACAGCGAAAAACATCTCTATAATGAGAAGATAGAATTTACTAGAGCAAAGCAGGTTAACACCCTGACTCATTCAGTATTCTCTAGAGAAGGGGAAAAAAACTCTAAAAGGAAAGCTTTGATGTGAAAAAGAAATTAATGAGATCACCTATCTTCTCTTTTGAAAAGAAATCTATGCCCCATACTATGCCCATTTACACAGATATGGGTCCTGCTGGGAACGATCAATCATGACTGAAATTATAGTTACTTAAATTAGGTGAACTATTGTATCCAAGTATTTTAGTTGTTAGTTTCAAAAACATAAATATTGCTCAACTATTAAGATAAGAATATTGATACGTCACTTCTTGAGACTCTACAAATAGTGATTTCAGTGACTCCGCTTTCTTCCTGGCTCAGCTCTTTTCTCTTTGGCTTTCCTTCTCACTCTTCCACTCTTACCGTTTTAAGCAGTCAATCTATATCTTAATAACTACCAGATTGGGTATCTTTCATTGACTTACGTGGGTTACAGGACCATCCCTGCACTAGTCACACGGCCAGTGAGTTGGAATATGATGACTGCCCAAATATCTCAGCTGACCTGGAAAATGGGGGAAATGAGGAGGATGAGTCTTACCCTAACCAAATTACTGAGGGTTGGGGGGAAAGTGGAACCTAAAAAAATAAAATTAGGGTGATTTTATTGATGGGGAAGTAGAAAAGGAAAATCACATATATTCACTACAGTAGACACTCAGAAAGGTTTGTGGTTGAACTGACTATAGTTTTAAATAAAACAGTGACTCACCTTGGCCATGATACTCTAAATGTCTTTTGGAAAGTTTTTCAGAATAAAATAATAATTATGATTATATGTCTAATTACCACACACATCTTAAGAATTTGCATTCAAAAATGCATATAAATGCCTCCCGATTAGCTAGGATTACAGGCACCCACCACCATGCCCGCCTTTTTATGTGTTTTTAGGAGAGGCAGGGTTTCACAACATTGGCTGGGCTGGTCTCAAACTCCTGATGTCAAGTGATCTGCCCGCCTCAGCCTCCCAAAATGCTGGGATTACAAGTGTGAGCCACCATGCCCAGCCAGCAATAGACTATTTAAATAGTACCAATGCCATTTCCAGCAAAAAGAAATTTATATTTAATGAAAATAAAACTTTTAAGTCCTCATGGAAAAACAATTTACAACTTGTAAAGTTGTAACTGCTAATTCAAGAACTATTGTGTTCAATAAGCCAATGATATAGAACTATTTCTATCTTGATTCTTAACATATATCTGAGAATAAATCCCTTTGAAACCTAAATGTCCAAGTGAAAATAAATTACTGTGTTATGCATGGTAGCAACTTTGGTTAATGGAGTAAGTGATAGAAGACACTGTGACAGTCTTTTTGGTGCATCAAAATGGCTAGGCTGAAGTCTCCAATTATGTAATCAAACACTAATCCAGAAGTTGCTAGAGGGTATTTTTTAGATGTGATTAAAGTTCATAATCAGTTGACTATACAGAAAAGAGATCATCCTAGATAACCAGGGTGGGCGTGGTTCTGTCAGATCTTTCATTCAGATGACCGTTTTAAGGGTTTTCTATTGGACAAAAGGCTTTAACCCTTTTTCCATTCAGGAAAAAAAAAGGGCAGCTCGCTGCCAGTGCTCCTTTAATTTTATATTAAACACATTCTTTAAAGCTGGAGCAAATCTGGCTGATTTTCAATGTAAAAACAAAATATAAAAACTGGTCTTGGAGTTATTTCCAAACAGAACTAACACCAGCATTTACTGAGTCATCAAAATCGTTGATTACAGAAAAAGCAGATTCATCAAATGAATCTTCGGCCAACAACTCTTCAAGAATGATAACGTCATCCAGAGAAATGCTACGTTTTGAGGA